TGGTTGTCCGCAGTTCAAGTCCTGGACCCAGTGGCTTGCTTTCTCACTTTCTGTCTTTCTCTGGTCAGATTAAAATAATAATAAATAAAGTTAAATGAAAAAATTATCGAAAACATAAAATAAGTGATCTGTGTTAATAGGGCCCCAAGCAGGCCAAGTTTGAAAACCCCGCCGCAGGGCTGGCAGCTGGGTCCCACATGGCTCACTCTGAGGCTCGATCCCGGACCTGCTGTGTTTGTGCACGCGTGTCCCAAATCCCAAGGAAGACCAGAGAAGGGATTGCAATGTGGCCATCCTCCCTGGGGGGGATTTCTCATTTTCTCTCTCCTTCTCGCTATCTGGTGAGCACACACAGCATATAGTAAAGAAAAAAAAAAAGCCCAGTGTAAATGAAAGTAGGGGTCTCCCCCACGATGAATTGGAGCAGTTCCATGCATACCAGATAAGCCCCCAGTCTGTGAGGTCAGGTGACACGAAGCGCGTGGGCCACGCGGGCCACTGCAATTAGGCCTCCTGCGCTTTTAGAGGTGAGGGGCTGTGTGCTAAGAGGCTGTCCATGCAGTAGACAAGAGTGGGCTCATTTCTCGTCCTCCCCTCTGCCAGACCTGGACATGGCCGTCGCGTACTGGAAGCTGGTGCTGTCTGGGAGGTTCAAGTTCCTGGACCTCTGGAGCACGTTCCTACTGGTGAGTCGCTGCCTCCGCCCTTTGCGTGGCGAGAGGTGGGAGCTTGGCTGCCATGAGGCCTGAGTCAGGCCCGTGGCAGTTCAGGGAGGTGAGAACTCAGGTCAGACAGGGCCGCCAGCTCCACACCTTGCTGGAGGCGGTACCCACCCGGTCTCAGGGGCTGCACCACGCCAGCCTCCAGTCTCCTGGCACCACGCAGCACCCTGCCAGACAGGGTCCCCTAAGACCTGCCCCACGGCCCCCCCGCCCTCACTGAGGCGTCTCCCGGCCCCTGCACTGGACACCATGCTCCGGTCCAGGCCTCTCGGCAGCCCAATTGCACACGGCTGACATGCATGTCGATGGCTTAAACGTGTTGGGGACGTGCGTGTGTGTGTGCCCAGAGTCCTAAAAGGGGGGAGAGGAGGGGGTAGTGGTGTGCACACTCCCCACGGGGGTGCTCTCTCGTCGTCTCTCTGGTGAGCACACGAACCCTCTAGCAGCAAAAAAAAAAAAAAAAGAAAGAGAAGAAAGGGCCGCCGGCGGCGGCCCTGCCGACAGGGCTCGGCCCGCCTGTCACGTGCTGCCGGACGCTGCCGGGAAGCAGGCCTGTGGGCCCTCCAGGATGGGCCTGCAGGGCGCCGCCTGCCTGCCGAGACGCCAGGGCTAGCCGTGTGCTCTAGTGACTGCACAGGACGGCACACGCCGGTGGACAACAGGGCCCAGGCCACGGCGGAACAGAGTGTCCCTGGCCATTCCAGCAGTGCTGAGTACAGGGCGGCCTGTAGAAGGCCACGTGCGATTGGTGCCATTGCTATCTTAGGGTGGGGCCAGCCACACGTGGGCTGCGAGTGTCCGTGCGAGTGCCGGAGGACCAGCTGGGTGAGTGCAGGCGGCCCACAGCAAACCGTGTGCTACAGACGGCGGGCGGTGGCCCTGCTGCCCGGCCATTGCTGAGCCAGTGCGGCAGCGGATGAAGGAGAGAGCGCTGCCCGGAGTTAGTCAGCCCGTGCACGTTCGTCCCCCGTCTGGGTCAGTCCACCTGCCGCGTGTGGCTGGAGGTGCTGTCGTGGCTCTCCTGTGGAGCGAGAGAGGGCTAGGTGCCGTCGCTCTCGCGAACGAGCTCGGCCTCGAGGTCTGACAGTCCCCTCCGCACCGGACTGTGGTGGCTTGTTCCCTCTCCTGCACCAGGAACATCATAAAAGGTCGATTCCAAGGGACACCTGGAACCTCCTGCTGGATTTCGGGGACGTGATTGCGGACGACATGTCCAACTACGACGAGGAAGGTACTGGGCACTACGGCACTGACATGGTGGCCAGGGAGGCCCACGTCCGGCCCACCGTGCTCGCCTGACCCCAGGCGATGGCGGCGGCACAGCAGAGTCGGTCCTGGGCATGGGGCAGCAGGTGGGGCCAGACTGCCCAGTCAGCAGCCCGGGAACCTCCTGGACATCACGGTGGGTCACACAGAAGAAAAGCCAGGCTCTGTTCCACGTAGGTCCAGAAGACAGTCCTGAAAATGGGGCGTTTCGGGTCAGATGCAGAGCCCGCCTGGCTGAGCCCAGACGAGGGGGTGGTTGGACATGGCCACTCCCCCGTACCCTGCCCCAGGAGGTCGCAGGCCAGCCGCGCTGTGCTCCTGACGCCTGCCGAGGAGTCCAGCTCCTGCTTACAGACACGAACGTCCCCGTGCCTTGTGTCCCCAGTGTTGAGGAGAGGCAGACCACACTGGGCCCCTGCTGCAAGGCACTCTGGCCCTGGAGGAGGGACACCCTGGGGAACAGCCACTCTGCACCCCCTGGCAGGCAGCGACCTCCAGGGGGACAGCGGCCTCCTGGCGCCCTGGAGTATGCAGGCTCTCTGGCACAGGCTCCCGCCTTGCTCAGTCGCGGGCGGTCTGCGGTCTGCTTGCTCTTGCTTGGAGCTTGCACCTGTGTGTTCTCGGCCCCACTGCAATGCTGAGCTGCCAGGCGAGGGGAAGACTGCGGCACGTCCCGGGGCAGCCACTTCCATAAGGAGGGCAGGACACGAGGGCACAGCGCAGGGTAGACCACACCCCAGCAGGCCCAGGGCTGGCAGCTGAGTCGGCAGGAGCCCAGGGAGGTGCTCTGGGTGAGGTGTGTCCAGGCCAGGCTTGGGAATAGGTCAGGCTCGGGATGTCCTGGTGGCGAAAGGCACACACAGCACAGTAAGCCCTGTGGGCCACGTGGCTCGTGGTCATCGGGACAGAGGCACCTGCCCACGTGCACATGGGTGAGAGCCAGAGACTCGGGTGAGCTCGGCCGGGCAGCAGGGTGTAGGCCAGGCAGGCGGGTGGGTTAGGTCTTGCAATGTGAGTGGCAGGTTATGCAGCAAGCGCTTCGCATACAAGCTGACGTTCGAGACCTGCTGCTCTGTTCTCTGCAGGAGCCTGGCCTGTCCTCATCGACGCCTTTGTGGAGTACGCTCGGCCGGTCGTCACCGGCGGGAAACGCCGCCTTCTCTAGGCGCCAGGGAGGATGGAGGCGGCGAGGTGAGGGCCCCGCGAGGAGGCACTGTGGCACCTGCTGGACATCTGTCGCCTATCAGAGGCCGGCCCTGGCCAGGCATGGAGCTGCAAGGGCGGGACATGGTGGCCCTGGGGATGACAGGCGATGCTGGCCTTCCCATTTCCGGCGGAGTCATCGAGAGCCTGCTCGCCGGGCCGCAGTGTGTGCCCGTGCAGTTGTGTCCAGGGGTCTGGCCCTCCTGGGCCCGCGCGTCCCGTGACCCAGTGTGCTGGCGCCGGGCCGCTGGACGTGAGCTGAAGCTGCCAAAGTACCCGGAGAAGCTCTTGCTGTTTTCTGGACCGCTGCCAGGCTTCGAGATTTCTGTTTTGAATGATCAAATGCCCAGGTTTAGCCGGTCTAGTTTTGCTCTCATTTTTTTAGATGTCACCTGCACGTGGCTTTGTGCTTTAGGGCTGTGGTGGCTCTGGTGACAGCCTGTGCTGCACAGCCCGTCCAGCCCAGGGGCTCCGCACTGAACCCCGGGACTGTAGGAGTGGTCCCGTGACACATCTCTTCTTAAATACATCTTGTCACGTTGGAAAGACATTTTTTCCACGGAAAGTATTTCTTCCCTCAGTGACAAGTTTTGGGCTGTCCCCGTCTGTCACCCGTAATGCCAGCACCCAGGCCCGTGTGCCATTGCACACACACACATCCTTTTCCCACCAAGGCTGCCAGGTCACCTGCA